TCGACCGAGTTGAGCATGTGAAATCTTTTGATGGCTCTGATACATTCTTCTCTGTTACAAAATTTGTCTTTCTCTTTTAAGTTTTCATCCGACTGTATATACGGGTTGAAAAATAAATCAGAAGACGGTTCATCTCCGCCCAGGTTGAAGTTTGTCATGTGCGGAGGTGGTGTGTAGATATCGTTTGAAGGAATACCAAGTATCCTATCGTCTTCGGAATCATCATTGACCATTTCGTCAAACTCCAACTCGTCATCTTCTTCTTCTTCATCAACGGCATCTACTTCTGCTTGTTCGATCTCCAAAGGATCAACCACTTATGACAGCTGAGGCTCTCGCAGCATAATGTACAACTTAATAGAGTCGTACCTAGAATACTCATGACGGGAAAATATATTCTGAAGGTCCTCGTCATCTTGGACCTCAACCTTATAAAATATTATTTGGTTGTTACCAAAAAACTGGATTCTGATAAAATATTTGTGTCACGGGGCCTCGTCCAAGTTTGGCCTCCAATCGTTTTTTGAAGTACAAGAAATTGGCTTTCCTGTTTAAACAAAATCAGATGTTCTCAGTGTCTCAAAACAACAACCCAGAGGTGGGACAAATGTATGTCTCGACGTTGAAATGTGCACTGATCACATATTGGGGTGCAGAGGCCATTGTGTATGACTGTTTAAAGGTTTGAACGTTTGAAGTTTATGAGTTAATTGCTGGAACTTTTTAAAGTTCTAGTGTTTGAGAGATTAAGTGTATGAGTGTTTTGATAAATGTAAGATTAAATAGGTTGTATTGAATTTGAATAAACCAACATGCATTCAGAGATGCCTTCTCCAAGGCTGCCACCTAGCATGCGCCTACACTACAACCTCTAAGGCGCCTCCCATCACGTCCAATAGTGTTACATACATTCAGAGATGCCTTCTCCAAGGCTGTCACCTAGTCTGCGCCTACAATGCAACTCATACCACCTCTTATTCGCCAACAGGGATGGCGACACCTTTCATTTTTGTACTCTTTTGCCAAGTCCAATGGCGCCTCCCTTCACGTCCAATCGTGTTACATGCATGCAGAGATGCCTTCTCCAAGGTTGTCACCAAGCCTGCGCCTACACTGCACCTACACTGCAACCTCTAAGGCGCCTCCCATCACGTCCAATAGTGTTACATGCATTCAGAGATGCCTTCTCCAAGGTTGTCACCTAGCTTGAGCCTACACTGGAACCCATGCCACCTCTTATTCGCCAACAGGGATGGCGACACCTTTCATTTTTGTACTCTTTCTCCAAGTCCAATGGCGTCTCCCTTCATGTCCAATCATGTTACATGCATTCAGAGATGCCTTCTCCAAGGCTATCACCAAGCCTGCGCCTACACTGCACCTACACTGCAACCTCTAAGGCGCCTTCCATCACGTCCAATAGTGTTACATGCATTCATAGATTCCTTCTCCAAGGCTGTCACCTAGTCTGCGTATACACTGGAACCCATGCCACCTCTTATTCGCCAACAGGAATGGCGACACCTTTCATTTTTGTACTCTTTCACCAAGTCCAATGGCGCCTCTCTTCACGTCTAATCGTGTTACATGCATGCAGAGATGCCTTCTCCAACGCTGCCACGTAGCCTGCACCTACACTGCAAGAGTGACACTTATCATGCATGCATGCACCCACCTACCACTTCACTTACTCTATGATAAAATTTTGCCTATAAATATAGAGAATTACATACTTCTCTCGCATCCACAATCGTCTCACTCTCTACTACAACTCTTTCATAATCTCTTACAATTTCAAACTCTTTCATAATCTTAGGCATTTTCAACAATGGCTCTTCTCATAATGGGCGATTCTTACAGAGACACAAGGAACAACATTGCAGCATTTATAAGTTTCTTTTATACTTATACATTTTTCATACTTCTAGTAATGCTTTATTCATCTTACCTACTCTTACACCTTTTACATTATTAACTTAGGATACTAAAAGATTCAGAATCCGGTCACACAACTACCTTGCTCCTAACCCATTTATCGTACCCTATCTCGATTACTCAGGTTTCAGAAACGTTATAAAGATCTCCAACTGCACAATTGATTCAAAGTTCATACTTGCAATGTTGGAAAGATGGAGATCAGAGACCCATACATTTCATCTACCAATAGGTGAATGTACCGTCACACTAGAGGACATGTACATGTTATTGGGTCTCCCTGTTGACGGTAAGGCGGTTAACGGGTCGGTTCAACAACCTAATTCTTAGTGTGAAGAATTGTTGGGCAGGGATATGGTTGAAGGTGGTGGTGCGAGAGGTCAGGGTATACTACTTACTGAGCTAAAAAATCATTATGCGACTCTGGAATTGAACGAAAATTCCTCCGAGCTAACTAAGGTAATAAAATCTAGAAATTATATAATGATACTATTTGGAACCTTTTAATTTCCCAAAAGTACGGGAAATAGTGTAAATTTATGTATTTAAATTTACTTAGAGACTTCGAAAAAACTAGAAAATATAATTGGGGTTCTGCTGTTTTAGCCCATCTATATAGTTCCTTGTGTAAAAATGCAATCAAGAAAAAATACACATTTTATGGCTGCTCTTTTTTACTTCAAGCTTGGGGTTGGTGGAGGATGAAGTCCCTAAACCCCGTCAACAACAACACATTCATTTTCTCATACGCAACAAAGTAAGTCATCAAGTTATATCATTTATTACTATTCATCTCTTCACAAAATATATGATAAAAATAAAATATTTTTCAATTCCTTTAGGTATTGCGTGAGGGGTATGGATTACGGCAAGAATCCAAGATTCAATGTCGCACTATACCGCAATCTATTGGATCACCTTGGCCCGGATGATGTACGTAGTACCTTTCAACTTTTCTACTTTTAAATTATTTATATATTACGTTTTCATTAACCTGATTTAATTTTATCTGCAGTTTGTCTGGAGACCATATTTGGGTTTGGACCATGAACCAAACCCCGAGGATGCAGCAATTTGGAGCGCAAAAACTGCAATCATACGGTTCAATGTTGTAGATATGCACCACAGCGACCGTGTAAAGATGCAGTTTGGAATGCATCAGGAGATACCTAGCGATCCGACTTGTTTGTCCCCGTGGCATCTCAAAAGGGTCGACGCCAATGGGGTCTTACCAAATGGAAAGACTTTGCTCCAGAATAGTGTAAGATGTGGCAGAGGCATCACCGACATGTCTTGCAATTCCCATATTTCCTTAACCATGACAATATGCGACACACGGATCAGTATTTATCTTGGTACAGATCGGTTAGTACCCCTGAAATGCATGTGTCTCATCCAAGGTATTTGGTTGACCCACGAACACAATGGGCACAACCCTCATTTCCCCAACAACAAACCCAACACACATCAACCTCCCACTAACTCCCCCCCCCCCCCCCCCGACGAAACAGAACCACAAACACCCAACCACAGTCACCAGCACAATACAATTACACCCACATGCCCCACAACCAACCACAATTACCACCTCAGTACCAATACCCCACATATGCCTCACACCCAACCATAATTTCAATCATAATACCAACACACCCGCATACCTCACACACAATTTCAGTCTTCTGCATATCCCAATATGGGCCCCTCAACATCCAACCTTAACCCTGATCTGGGATTGTCCGAAGATTATGAACCAACCGACCCAACTTACCATCAACCACAACATCACCAAAGCATACAACATCCTCAATACCAAACACCCCAAGATTCATTTCCTTTCTACCCCCCGTACTCAGACGACCAGTGCTACAGACCAACCATGGAATCCCACCCACCACCAAACTTTGAGGGTATGGGTAACCGACCAAAGCGGATCTTCTAGATATGGAGATCTGACTGATTTCATGGATCTGGAACGCATTGACTTCGTTGGGCCATTGACCCTGCCACAGCAGGAAACGCGACGAAACCCAACACGGGAAAGGCGAGGACGGGGATGCGGAACCAGGGGTCATTACCGGATTCCGGGGGACCACTGATTAATCTATATTTTTTATGTAATAATTATGTGTATAATCATATTTTGTAAATAAAAAGTTAATTTTATTGATCCTATATCGAATACGTAAAGCACCGCATTTAAAATAAAAAACGCTAAAATTTGTCTTCCAATTGCACTAAGGCGCCATCTCACTTGGCTTAGGGCAAGCCTTTAACACCTAGGCGCCAAGTGAGATGGTGCCTCCACTTAAAAATTAGGTGTAAGCGCCAAGTGGGATGGCTCCTCCCTTGAAGAGTTTTCTAAAATATGATTATTTGCGTAATTTTCTTCAAAACATGATTATTTACGATTTTTTTTTAATATATGATTATTCCAAAAAAAAAAATCATGGAATATCGTTAGTTCAAACTCATATCTAATGCTTATGTATAACTATCAACTATATTACTCTAACGGAACAATATTAATTTAAGTTTAGATGTTACAAATTCATTTCATTTTCACAAATGATTTCACAAAAGTCATAAATGTTAACCAAACACATTTTATAAATATTCCGAACTTACTATTCCTAACATTGAAGTTTCAATCCATAAAATATAAAACCATCTTATAATCATTAAAATTTATGCTCTACAAATTAACTTGCTATAAAATATAATGAAATTAATTGTCGCACCGTGTAAAACATTTTACGCCATCTCTTACATCACACCAACGCACAAATATTATTTTATTAATAATTAAAATAAAAGTCAAATCTAATTTAAAATTTAATAGTTATTATTTATTGATGGTGTAAAATATATTTACCATGTAGGTGCATTCTAATTAAATTCAAACATAATTTCACGGCCAAGTTATATGCCACATAAGTGAAAGAGATATGATGAGCCTAAAATACTAATAGAACTAGAAAAGTTATCAAGTTTTTACATAACATTACTATACCACTAAGGTGACATATCAATTACTTACTCCAACACTATTGACAACCATAATCTCAGAAGCCACCCCCACCACCTCCACACCCTCCGCCACCGCCACCGCCACCGCCACCGCCTCCACCATGATCACCACCATGTCCAACATGCCCCCCTCCATGTTCAACATGTCCACCATGTCCGCCTGCATGTCCTCCATGGTGACCACCATCAGTTCCATGTCCTCCGTGGTGACTTCCACCATGTCCTCCAATATGACCACCATCAGTTCCATCTCCTCCATTATCTCCTCCACCATCATCTCCTCCATTATCTCCTCCACCACCACCTCCTACACCCTCAGATCTGAATTTTTTTCTCTTTTTATGTCGAGAGATCTTTTTCCTCTTTTCATCTCCAGAGCAAAAGTTTCCCATATTCTATATTGTTCACTTTTACGTCTTTGTTCCTCCACGCCTTTACACTTTGTAATTATATCATAGTAGAATTTATAGGCAAAGTTTGGTTAATAAAATACTCCAGAGTCAATGTCCTTGTTTTACACGGAAAGTTCTTTGAACTTTCATCGAAATTTAATACGGGACCAATTTTATATGAAACAGAATTCATTGTCATTAATACTCGAGATAAAATATAAGGTTGAAATATAATTATATTATACAAAGAAAGTTACATAGAAAGTTACACGAAATTTTGACTCTAAATAATTATTTTTAAATTTTTAATAAGGTTGAAAATATTAATTAACTTATATATAAAGAAAGATACATCGAAATACTATGTGTTTAACCAAAGAAATTTCATAAATCAGTATGCCAGTATAACTATATCAAAACTTAAGATAGAAGAAAAGACTGTACACTTTTGTTTTTTTATATTTTAGTCTTTTCTTTAGGAGTTTTTTGTATTGTTTAGGCGAGTCTTTTTTAAGAGTAAATATTTTTTATTATCTACTTTTCTTTTAAAGGTTGTTTGATTTGATGGGAGTTGTTCTGGACTGGGCCCGACAGGCCCAAAAGCGTTACTAAGGCCCAGTTCAATGGGACTCACTAAGGACCACAATGGGCAAAGGCCCAATCCAATGAGACTCACTAAGGACCACAACGTCCATGCCCGACACCCTGATGTCCACCTCGACATCTCAGTGTCCAGCCCACGCGACGAAGTCACGCTCGACAGATTGCCGTCCAGCTCCATGCCCTGACTTCCAGCTCGACATTCGATGTCCAGCTCGGGGTCTTGGCGCCGAGCTCGACACCGTGCTGCACTGCTCGACATGGACTCGAGCTACCTTGCTAGGGCAGACTCAGTCACCATTGCCCCAACGATACTCCGTAAAGACCGCGTCTCTGTCCGCCCGCACTTCACGCAGCACCTCCAGGAAGGGGACCACGTGCTGATCCCCACTACCCACGTAGAACCTGGCAGTTCCTCCATTGGGCCAAATCCGCCCGGCCCAATGAAGGAACCTTGGCCCAGCGCTGGGGGCTATAAATACCCTCTGTTTCCAGAGGGTCAGGTAATCATCATTTCTAACCTCAACTCTATTATCTGCTAGTACTCCCACTGACTTAAGCATCGGAGTGCCTTGCAGGTACCCCCCCCCCCCTCCTCGTTCAAAAAGCCTTCAGCTCGGAGCAGCCGTGACGGTCCAAACCTTCTGATCAGGTCAGATCAGTGGCGCCGTCTGTGGGAAACAGCTTCCCCGTCTAACGAACAGTTTTCAAAGACCAAAGCTCAATCCATTCACTGTCATGGCCTCTCCAACTCGTGAAGAACAACACACTCGCGTCCTCGACGCCAACAACGGTCCCGCGGACAAGAATGGGCACCTGGACAATCCCAGTGGTGCCGGCCACAATGCCATCCCCCTAACAACCGCCCCTGGACCTTCCACCCGCAGGGACGGGAACACTGCGTCCTCCTCGACAACTCCTCCAGGACTCGAAGACGATCCGGAGGCTCTCGCCTATCGCCAGGCTGCCCGGTTCTACGAAGTCCAAGCCCCTGCCGGAGCGGATGCCACTGCTCAGGCACTGTTCGCGGCCATCAACCAGACGAACTATCTCCTGTTCGCACAAGGAGAAAGACTTAGGGCACTGGAAAATGATCGACGCCCCCCGAGGAGACATCAAAGGCCACCATCTCCACTTCCTCGGGTCGAAGAAGTTCGACACCCTACTCCCCCGCGGAGACATTACAGGGAAATCTCTAGGAGCCCCTCTCCCTCACCAAGGCAGAGGCGGCCCCAATACGAAAGACAGCCCGTCATCCCTGCCGAAGAGCCCGTTCGTGACGCCTCAAGGCACGAACGGAGGCACAACAGAGACGGACATGTGACCTTCGCCCACCGAACATCACGTTCAAGGGAATCCCAGCACGAGCAACGTGCCCGACACAACTACAGGACCCTTTCTCTTTCTCCAGAAAGGAGCGACGAGGACGACCCCCGCGGTCCCCTGTCGCAGGCCATCATGGACGCACCTATTCCCCCGGGCATGGAGAAGCCCCCACACCTGAAAGAGTATGATGGAGTGGCAGACCCAGTCGACCACATTGACGGGTTCGAGGCCATGCTCCACTATCACAACGTCGGGGGCCCCATCAAGTGCCGTCTCTTCCCAACAACTCTCAGGAAGGCGGCCATGGACTGGTACAAGGGACTTGCCCCGGGCTCCATCACCTCGTGGCGGAACTTGAAGAACCAGTTCATCAGTTCCTTCACAGCGTCTCGTCGCCATCCAAAGACCGAGGCAGCCCTCGAGGCCATCATCCAGAGACATGATGAGACCTTGAGGGAATTTATCAACCGCTTCAACCGGGAAGCAATCCAGGTCCCCTGCGCGGACCATATGAAGAGGTACTTGCTGGAGAGGGGCCTCCTCCCCGGCACAGAATTCAGGAAAGCTGTAGGCATCGAGCCACCTGCAACTTTTGACGCTCTCCTCGACAAAGCTCGAGCATATATGGATTATGAGGAGAGAGAAGCTGCCAACAGGGCACGGGACTCCAGGGCCCGCAACCATGGAAGCAGCTCGAGACAAGACCCTCCTCCCCGACGCACCGGAGAGAAGAGGAAGGAAGACAGACCCCGGGAGGTCCGGGAACAAAGGGGCCCCTCGGGCAGGTTTACTGAGTACACTCCGCTCACAGCTTCCCGCGAGCGTATTCTGGCGGAGTGTGCAAGCACAGATTTTAAAGACGGTGGCGTCAAGCGTCCCCGACCAGCTCCTGCCAAGCCAGGAGTAGACAAAAACAAATACTGTCAGTACCATAGGAGTCATGGTCACTTGACAGAGGACTGCGTCCACCTGAAGGATGCTATTGAAACCCTCATCAAAGGAGGGAGACTTGCACAGTACAGGAGAAACGACGCTCCCCGTCGTGAAGCCCGCGAGGCAAAGGAGCCCGAAGAAGATGCCCGACCATCTGACGAGTCGGTGCCAATCCAGACCGCCTTCTCGATAACCAGGCCCGAGGATTTCGAGCTTCCCGAGCTCCTGCAGGAGCCCCTGACTACACACAGCAGGTGGGAATACTTCCCCTCCGCCATGGTCATCAACGGGGGCGGGTTCAGCGACCTCACCATCAATTCAGCCAAGAGGAAGTTGGACGAACTGGTCGACAAAGCTCCTCCTCAAACTGTGACTTTTGAAATGGTGAGGGGCAGATCAGAGCCTATCACATTCTACTTGGAAGAGCTCCCCGGCGGAGCACCGAACGCAGTCATCCCCTTGCTGATAAGGGCAAAGATGGCCAATTTCGACGTGCATCGCATTCTGGTCGACGAAGGGAGTTCCGTCGACGTGATGTACACCCAGCTGTTCCGGACCTTACAACTGGACGACTCCCATCTGTCTCCATATATAGGTTCGGACCTTCAAGGCTTCAACGGCTCGACGTCCAAACCTTGGGGATATGTCGAGCTCCTCGTGACATTCGGGGAAGATACTGCTACAAGACAAGTGAAGGTCCGCTTCCTCGTCATTGACTGCCCATCCCTGTACAATTGCATCCTGGGGAGGCCGACATTGGCGGAACTGACAGCGGTCCCCTCAACTGTCCACCTAAAGATGAAGTTCTATACCAAGAGGGGGAGGGTAGCCACCATCCAGGGCGACCTCGCTGCTGCCCGCCGGTGCTTCAACGCCGCTTCAAGGGGTCGGGATACTGTCGACGTAGGTCCCAGCACTAGGCCCATCAAGAAGACAAAGCAAGAGCCCGACACAGCACCTCCTGAGGTAGAAGTTCAGAAGGCTTCACCAAAGGTCGACTCCATTGCGCTCGACGCCCGTTTTGACCAAGATGAACCGGCCAGCAGCGAGCAAATCCCCCTCCGACCTATTCCGGACGGTGATTTCGAACTCGTTCCCCTCGGAGCAGACCCGACCAAGGGAGTGAAGATTGGCAAGGACCTCCCCGACTTGGCCAGGAAGCAAATCAAGGCCTGTCTGCGCGAGAATGCTGATCTCTTCGCCTGGAGCGCTGCAGAGATGCCCGGACTCGACCCTGAGGTCGCCTGTCATCACCTCGCCATTGATCCAGCCGCCAAGGCAGTAGTACAACGTAGGCGTAGGCAGTCTCCAGAAAAAACGGAGGCTGCTGAAAAAGCTGTAAAAGACCTCTTAGAGGCAAATTTTATTTCTGAAGCCCGGTATTCCACCTGGCTGTCAAATGTTGTACTTGTCAAAAAGAATAATGGAAAATGGCGAATGTGTGTTGATTATACCGATCTCAATCGGGCTTGCCCGAAGGATGCTTTTCCTCTACCAAACATTGATATGCTGGTCGACAACTCGGCCGGCTACAAAACTTTGTCGTTCATGGACGCTTACTCGGGATACAATCAAATCCCAATGGCTCCGGGCGACAAACGCTGCACGGCGTTCATGACCAGCTCGGGCAACTATTACTACAACGTAATGCCCTTCGGACTAAAGAACGCCGGGGCGACGTACCAACGCATGATGAACAAAGTGTTCAACAAACAGATAGGCGACATGCTCGAGGTATACATGGACGACATGATCGTCAAATCTCGAGCAGACACCGATCACGCAGCTCATCTCAAGACTGTCTTCGCCCAAGCAAGACAATGCAAAATGAGGTTCAACCCGGAGAAGTGCACATTTGGGGTTAAGGCAGGAAAGTTCCTCGGATTCTACCTAACAGAACGAGGCATTGAAGCCAACCCCGACAAGTGCCGAGCATTCGCCGACCTCCCGACTCCAACGTCGAAGAAGTCGATACAGATAATGAACGGCATGTTGACGTCACTTTCACGCTTCGTCGCGAAGTCCGCTCAGCACGCCCTTCCCTTTTTCAAACTCCTACGAAAGGAGGCAGCCTTCGAATGGACCGAAGAATGCGAACACGCACTTCGCCATCTGAAGCAGAGCCTGTCTCAACCACCCGT